GGCAAGGAGAAAAATCATAAATTTCTCCTTTTGAGCTAAACTTAATCTTGAACTTTACCAATGCCACTTCCTAACCTTTGCACAACCTGCTCTCTGCCCCACCCCCACACACAGATAGTTAGTAGTATTGTTATTATATATATTGCCAGTTGCCTTTACCCTAATCTTAATGGAATTTTCCCACCTCCTATTCAGATTCTGCCCCTCCTCACATACACATATACAAAAAAAGTCCTTTTGGGATATAACACATACATTCATGATGACTAAGATCATCTGGAAGACTGATGGCTAATTATAAGTCAGTGTCCCACTTCTGGGAACTATAAAGGTGGCGGGAGCTAAACCCTCAACTTTATCAAAACTTTTGTCCTTGGAGCCCCTATTAATGGGAGTAGGTCCACTCTCCTCCCATGATGGTAAAGTGAAAATGAGGGCAGGAGGAGAAGATCCTATCCAGTGGAAGATGCATGACTCACAAATGGGCAGGATCTAGAGCAGGGATGGGGAACCTCAAGGCCACTTGTGGTCTTCTGAGTCCTTGGGAGCTGCCTTCTGACTGAGTCCAAGTTTTACAGAACAAATCCTATTATGAAGGGGATTTATGAAGTTTGGATTCAGTTAAAGTACCACACTTGAGGACCTAGAGGGCCACAGGTTCAGCATCCCTGGTCTAGAGGTATTTCATAGGTGGAGCTTCCAACTCTAAACCTAATTTTGAGCTTGTCTCTTTCCAAAAGTAAAGAAGAGGGAGCAGACCCCTAGCACCATCAGAGTGAAATTCCTACAGCTCAAATGCCTGGCCTTTTCCCCCAGTTTCCTAATTCTACTTTCTTAAGCATTAATTAACAAATGAACCAATCAAAAACTACTCAAAGGATTCCATTAACATGCCCATTCCCTTTATAGACAGAAAAGAGGCAGGTTAAATTATTTGTTAAGAAGATATCCAAGCCAATACTGAGCAGTTCACATTTAATAAGCAGCAAGGACAGTGGTTGTCCTTCCTCCATCCCTGACCTTGCACTGAGGCAAACTTTCATGAAAAAATATTGGCATGATGTGCGTTTTTGTCCTCTCACATTTTTGTGTACCTCACCTACTTAACCACTGTTAACACTCCGGATTGGCAAACACTCTGAACTTTAGTGGGGACGAGCCCAGGGAGCCTGCCTGAGAAGGAGATTAGTTTAATCCCTACACAAGCTTCCCAGCTATGATGAAGGTAGTTTGGGGTGGGGGGAGAGGAGGGCAAGGAGTGAGGGCAGGGAGCATTGGGGAGATAGTGGGTAAAGGAAAGCTGATCTGTGCCCCAATGCCAGGACTCATTCTGCCCACCTACTAAATCTGAATAGTTAAGAGGATAGGCGAAAAGAAGAAACTGAACATTGGGCATTAGTGTGACATTGGGCCAGGGGAGGGGGTTTGCAGAGGTAGAGAATCTCTTCTGGAGTTCATTTGAGATGGAGAGATTCCAAGCCCTTGGGGCAGCTAACAAATAAGAGGGAAAGAAAAGGAGGAGAAGAGTAGAATGATGATTAGAAATAGCCAAGCATGCTGGAAAAAGGACAATAAAAATGGAATTTCTAAGTATTTCTGGGAGGTTGGGGCAACAAAAGACTGACTCCCTCTCCATATTCACTGACGATTGAGGAGTACTACTGGGTATCTGAGAAAGGATTTAGTGGGATGGGGACTTTTGTTCACCAAGGTACGCTGGAAGAACATAATAATCCTTCTGTCAAACCTTCTATTGCCCAGGATTGTGACTGACAGAAGAGTAAGACTGGTCACACATACACATGCAGTTTTGCTATTCAAATTTGTGATGATGTGGTTATTGTGTTTAGGTCAGAATCTTCTGCGGCTTCAGGTAGAAACAGAATTGAATAAAGAACATAAGATCATAGATTTGGAGCTGGAAAACAATTTTAGAGCTCATCTAATCAATCCCATTCTTGTGACAGGTGAAAGGAAGGCTTATGGCTATTAAGAAGCAGAATGTGAATTCCCATCCATGTCCTGTGATCTGAGGTGACTGCTTTTGCCATGATTCTCCTAAACCTCTCCTTCCAGATTCTCATACAAAATCTATTTCTTCAAAAATGTTAAAGAAAAGAGAAGATAAAAGTGGGGCATTTCTAAAGTAGAGACTCTATTATGAAGTGTTTGAAGCATCACCATTAAGATGGTGCCCCTCCTCTTTACTGCCAGATAGAACCTGGGGGTGGCCCATGCTGAAACTGAAAGAATTCTTCATGTTTCATTGGAAGTTGAGCATTCACTTATGGCCATGAAGAAGTGCTCCACCCAGTGGCACATGGATCAGCAGGTGAAAAGAAACAGCAATTCCATATTCCAGCAAGTGTGCCAGAGTTTCCAAGCTATTGGACCCCACATCCTGTCAGACACAATATTAATGGTCATTTCTGAGAGTGTGTGTTTCTTGGCTTATACGAGAGGGATTCAAATGTCATTTTGAGAGATTCCCCAACATGTGTGCACGTTGGCCCACACTGTCAGCCCACAGAACTGGAAGTGAGCTGAAAGGTCTTTTACTCCTTCCTTACTGGTTCTCTTTCCCATTTCTTCCTCAATGGCAACTCTATACTTTTTGCATACCTTTATCCCTTCCACATCACTCCACATCCTTACCCAGTCCCCACTCCCAGTTGGCCTCATAGTTTTCTGAGAGAGTGGAGTCTATTTAGCTGGAACTTCCTCATCTCTCTTTTATTTCATCTTACATTCCTTCACCATTTTCTCCCTACTATCTCCTCATTCATGCCTGTGTGTCCTGATGAGGTGGCTATTTTCTTCCTGTACCCTTGACCTTATACCCTCTTGTCTCTTTCCAAAATTATCCCCACTCTCACACACATGCAAATCTTCAACCTCTCCCTCTATCTACCTGCTCCTTTATTGCCTATGAACATTCCCATGTCTCCCTCCTCACTAGCTCTTACCATCGACTCAAGCTATCACATTATGTTTACCTTCCCTTGTTCCTCAACTTCCTAAAAAATTTGCCTCCTTCCATTTCCTCCACTTCATCTCCTCTCCCTCACTTGCCAATCTTTCTTGTGACCTCATCCCACATCTGAAACTGCTCTCCATAAAGTTAGCTGGAAGAGAATGCCTGGGCATTTCTGACCTACTCTGTCATCTTCCCAGAATTCAGCTGCAGGTGATCTCTTAATTTCCTCAATTGAGTGACTTCTCAGTTGTCATCCAAAGACCAGAGAGGTCTGACACTGCATCTGATGCTACTGATTTCCTTCTCCTCCAAGACTCTTTCCTCTCTGGTTTTCTTGACACTCTTCTTTCTTATTTCTCCTTCTTCTTGCCAAACTGTCCCTTCCCAATACCCTTTGCTGGATCATCCCCCATATTGTGCCCCTGAAGATGACAAAGGTGCAGTCTTGGGCCCTTTACTCTTCCTTCTCTGTATTTCTTGGTAACATTTTCAGCTCCTGGTTATGGCAGTGTGATAGATGTCAAAAAGACTGAACCCAAACCAATTGCATGCCCGGATACAGAACAGGGAGTGAGAGACTACCCTGGCCCCATTGGCATAGTGTCACATGTAGGTGTATATAAAATGGAAATTCCAGCTATATATATAGTAGTGAGAGGAGAACTAGAGAGGACATATTTGCTGCTTAATGGAAGGCGGAAAGCATTCAGGTAGAAAGTAGCATGAGATCTGGACCTTCTGAGAGGCACTGGTGAATGGGAAGGTCTTTTTAAATATGGAGGGTGGGGGCAAGGGAAGTCATCAAGGGCCAAAACACTGAGATGGGGATTGGAGTGTTCTGCATGAAGAATAATAAAAAATCTAATGGGTTGCTTTGTAAGTAATATGAAATAAAATGAAAAAGGTAGATAGAGGTTACATTTTCTCATCCTTCTAAGTGAAATAGAGAATTGTATATTGAATCCTGGAAATAATAGGGAGCCCCTGGAAGTCATTGAGGGAGGTTGTTAAAATGGTCTGATTTGTACTTTAGAAAAATCTCTCTGAAAGCTGTTTGGATGACAGGTTAAAGTAAGGAAAGTCTAGAGGCAAGAAGACTGATGAAAAGACTATTGCCATCATTCTGGGGAAAAAGTGATGAAGTCTCAGAAGTAACCAAGGATTTGGCTATTGAGTCTGGAGCATTTTTGGAGAAGTCTCTCAGATTTCTCTATCTGTCCATACTCAGTGATATAGGGGGATTCACGGTAGTCATTTTTGCAAATGCTTATTGTGAACACTTGGCTGTGAGATGAATGAGTTTCCCCTGAGATGCTGCTTCTTATTATGCTTTAAGAACAGGAGAAAACCCATTCTGCTAACTGCTTGATTTGCCTCTCACAGGAGAGCCTGTCAGCAGCTTTTTTTGACTGCATGCTGCTTTTTAAAAACTTTATTTTCCCAAATAGAAAGAACATTAAGATTGATATGATTTTAATCTTTCATGGTAAGCTCAGTCTTGCAGAAAGTCCTAGTCTGATGCCTTGGTGCAATTCTGGAAGGTAATGCAGCAGGGTACAAGTGTCATACAAGGGTCCTGCAAAGTCTTGCAATATTATACACTCTTTAAGGCCATTCTCCTTTGTCAAAGCCAGACTACTGAAATTCAGTCTCATCACCACCATATCACTCTCTTGGTGAATGACTTCTTTGTCCATGGCAACCCAAGAACTGATGAAAATTGGCCTCAGTCAGGTGGGATCACTTCAGCTTCTATAGTGATGAGGGCAGGAAAGGGTAGGGGGTGCTCAGAATCACCTAATTTCTAGGCCACTGACAAACTGGGAATTTCCTTTCCATTTTTCTATATGTAAATATAAGATCCACATAGAAATATTATGGCATTTTTTCCCTTGTTTTGGTTTTACGCTATGATCATGGTTCATGTGAGAGAAGAATATTGTGTTACTTGACTGCCACTTGTGGGAATACATTCTAAATGGCAAGTGTGACTCTTCTTAGTGTCACTTTCATTTCTTTTCAGGTGGCAAGCCCAGATCTCCTCTAGACCTTCTTCCCTGGACTTCATGCATAGGACAAACCCTCTACCCATGTGTCCTCTCCCTTTGATTGGCTAGTTCTTCGCAGAACCTCCAAGATGTTCAGGATGGCACCCAGGCCAACAACATCTGCATTTCTCTTTGGGCTGCACACTGAGTCTCCAGGTCCTCTCCACAATGCCCTGAGGCCTGGTAATTTCAATCCCCTGCCCTTGCTTTTCAGCTTCCCGATGAGCTGCCTTCTCCTATTAAAATGGAATCTTCCTGAGGGCAAAGATTATCTTTTTTCTTGTATTTGTTTTCCAGCACCAAGAACAGCACCAGAGTTTAATAAAACCTTGTGTTCTTAATGATTTGACTTGCTAATTGGCAAATCATCCCCAAACTGACCCCCTCTTCTTTGGCTAGGGAGAAAGGGCAAATATGTAGATGTAAAAACAGTCATTCCCCAAAGCAGCATGAACAGATATACAAACAACCAATCCCTAGTATGAATTTACAACTGACTATTAAAAAAGACAAACTCAAGAATTGTAGATGCTAAAGTAAGTGTTTCAGTGGTACATGGGCAGTGGGCTCTGTTTTCCTGTCTGTAGTTATTAACATTACCTGTGCTGCAAAAGCAAGAAAGTGTCCCAACTGGAAGAGCAGACTGGATGATTTAGGAAAGACTGCTCTAAAACTCAGTCTACCAGAGAGTCTCAAGTGTTCTTAAACAGTGTGGAGAAAGCACTCCAGAAGAGAGTCAGTGAGGAGAGAAAACAATTTTCTGAGAGAGAATGGAAGGATACTTCTGTCAAGAGGAAAGTTGTTGGTGAAAGCAAGGAATAAAAAACAAACAAACATGGCGGAGCAGGGGAAGAAAAGAAACTCATCAACATTTGAACTGTCCACAGACATGGGGCTTCTTTCATGGAAGATGATTCTGAACATTACCAAGAAGAAGCACCAAACATTTTGGCAGATGGGTGTTCTGCGAGGTGTTGAGTTCTACCCTGTTGATGAGGGGACTTGAGTGATTGGGCCTTGATGAAATAGTCCAAAGTCAAGATCCCAATAAGAGTGCAGCCAAGAGGACAGACTAGAAGCTGGACTGGGTAGGAAGGAGGAGGTTCTCAGGAATGCCAAGTTCAAGTGATGGAGAAAGGTAGAAAGCTGAGAACCAAGGCAATACTTGCAATGCATCTCCATAGACATACCATGGGGTTGCATTCTAAGAGTGATTGGAAAATGATTGTCTGATACTCTCTGAGTCCTAGAAATTCTGCTCAGTGCCATACAACCCCCACCATCACCTTGCTCTAATATGGAGGTCCACAGCAACAGCAACAACAACAACAACAACAAGACAGCTAGAATCTTTGCCAGGGCCTTCCCCCAGTGCTTACATTCAGCTTCAATATCCAAGAGGACCACCCACCTTAAACTCCCAAAGCTGCCTCCAGTTCTGAAAATGTCTGACTGGTGATAACAGTTCACCTGAGATCAAGAAAAAAACAAAGAAGCAAAATGTTACCCTGCCTGGCAAAAAAAAAAAATGTGGTGACTATTTACTTGTGCTAGAGTGGGAGCTTGGCTGGTGAGGCTGAGGAAGGATCTTGAGGCCTAGACTGCCTCTGCAGCTTTGGGTTTCCTTCTTAGGGTAAACAGGACTGAAAGCCAATCTTCAGTTGGATGTTTTCATCCTGGGAAGCAACCTGGTGAGTTTTGCAGGGTGTGGGGATGCAGGTGGGCATGGGATAAAGAGCTACAGCATCAGAGAAAAAGAGTCTGTGTCTTCCTTAATGGGCCAGGCTCCTTGAGTTATGAATCTTGTCTATGAGGTGTAGGGTACCCTCCCTGTAAAAGAGGGTAAAGGCTCCAAGCTGCAGTGGATCCAATAAAGTGGCTGCAGTTTTACAATGACATTTAGGTAACTGTATGTTTACTAATTGTAAGTCATGGTAGCTACTATCTTTGGCTCTTCTGAGGCTACTAGATTGATCAATAAAATCTATATCAGACAAAATGGATCTTTATTTCAGCAGATTATGTAGTATAAAGCCTTCTCAATCATATATTTGTGACAGGACAGAGAAATGTGTTTTGAAATTCAGTTAATGGTCTCATAAGTGGCTGTACAATTGAACCAAAAGTGTTTGACAGGTGTCAAACTGGGGAAAAGTCTTTAGTGGAGCATTACCTAGCTCTGCATTAGGAATTATTAGTGACCTGGATGAAAACTCACAAAGTTCAATTGACTAGATTTAAAGGGGACACAAGGTGGAGGGATGACCAAGACAATGGACAACACAAGCAGCATCCAAGCTACTGGAATAATAGATGTGAGTACTTTGATCATGTTTAACATATTATCTCTTTGGACTCTCACAACAACCCTAGCAAGTAGCTTCTGAGGTGACTCTCAATGTCCCATTTTACAAATGAGGAAAAGGGGATGTAGAAAAATTAAGTGAAAAGACGAGGGTGAGCTACCAAGGCTCAGAGGTAGGATTGGAACACAAGTCTTTCCTGACCCCTCATCCTGTATGTATCATCCACCCTCTCTCTGTTGGATCCAATACAACAAATCATCCTTTGATACTTTATCTCAAATAACTTTGAATTTGTGATTTCTAAAGAGTGAAGGCCATGACCTGACATTGCTAATGGTACCTGTCTTCATCTTTTAATACCACATTGGTCCCAGGGGAGCACTTAGACTTTCTCTTCATTATCCTACTCCTGGTATGTGACATAAATCAGATTTTTTCCTAATGTATGTTTGTATGTATGCATGTATTATGCATGTATGGCTTCAATGATGTCTCCTCCCATGCTAGTCATGTTGGATAAGATGTCACAACCTTCTTAGGTATACCATGTGTCTCTCTATTTCTTTCAAGTTTCTGGAAAACTTCATTTCTGCTAAAAGCATGTCAGTCCAGGGGATGGTACCCTTCAAAGTAATAGGGGTCAGAGATCTGAGTGAAAACAGTCATGACACCTGTATAAGTCAATAAAAGAATTGGCCAAGTGCAGATTATTTCTTTGAGCAACAAGCATTAAGATCTTATTCTGTGCTAGACAATCAACTAGGCTATTGGAGTCCATCTTTCCAGGTAAGTTACCAACAGCAATAATCTTAAAGGGAGTTTCAGATTAACATAGATTCCACTTAAGCCCTAATTAATATGACTCAGTGAATTATTACTGTTCTATATGTTAATTTGGCGTATTCATTTCATGAACATTTGTAATTACTATTACTTTTTACACCTGCAAGAATTTCTAAGATAGTCAATAGGGGCAGAATTTTGTGGGGTGATTCTATGGCCTCACCGAAGGCTTCTGGTCTAGGACCCAAGGGCATCTTTCTCTTCTCAAGCTCTCAGTGGTCTAAGTGTTCCCAAGAACCCTGGCTATCATGTGTACCCATCTTAGGAGCCTGGAAGTTAGGAACTGGCTCATTTTTATCTTCTTATGCCCAGTACCCAGCATTCAGCAGGTGCTTAAGGAGTGATTGTCCACTAATCATCACTGTTGGTCCCAGGAGAGGAAGGTGGTACCCTCTGATTTCTTGGGGCTTAATCCCCTGCTCCATCCTTAAGTTCAGCCTCATACCTCCTCCTGTCCAATTCCTAGATCTACTTACTGAGGAGTCAAAAAGACTCATGCTTCCCTCCTCTGACTTCCTTTCAATGGAGCATTGAGCCCTTAATGAAATATACTCAAACCCTGTGTGCTCAGGTCTACATGGCATGTACCAAGCAGTTTGAATGTGTAGAGATGGTTTCTGTTGGGTATACTAAGTGTTAGTGACCTTTAGCCAAAGTGGTTCCACTGGCTAAGCATGCCCTAAGTACAAAGGGTACTAAAGGTGCCAAGCAAACAAAAGGTAAATGGAAAGCAGAAATTACATCACCACCATCCTTATAGGTCCCCAGGATAATGCCCCTGAAGTCATCCTCCAATCTTCAGTCCCCTTTTCCTCATCCAATACATTGGCAAGTCCTATTGGTTTTATCCCCATAACATCTCTCCCATCCATCACTTCACTTCACTTCACTTCACTCCTTTGGCCACCATCCTAGTTCAGACATTCTTTACTTCTTGCCTAAACCATATCAATAGCATCCTCATTAGAGACTGAAAAAACCTCAATGGTCTTCTGTAATGCACCATCAACAAAAACCCAATGTTGGCTTTCCCTGCTTCCAAAAACTCCCTGATCCAATCCCTGCTCTACACAGCTGCCAAAAGAATCTCACTAAGGTGCAGATCTTGCCATATCAATCCCATGCTCTTTTTAATTTTTTTCCTGGAGCTCCCTATGGATCGAGAGTGGGGGGGGGGAATCATTAAATTCCCTTGGAATAACATTCACTTCCCTCCACAATCTCTCATATTTTAATGGGCAGATCTCACATTTCTTACCTCTCTTCTCCAGCCAAACTGGACTAAGGAGTGGTCCCTAAATTCAGAATTCCATCTCCACCTCCATTCTCAGCACTTCATCTCTCAGCTCCTTGGGTGCAACTATACCTCACAAAAAGGATGCACTTTCTCCTCATTTCTGCCAATCATATCCTTCACTTCCCTTCAAGCTCAGCTCAGCTTCTATCCCTCAGCTCTGTAAATCCTTCTTTCAGGCCCTTTGCTTCTAGTGTTTGCCCTTTTGCCAAATTCCCCCTCACCTTTTCCTCCTGACTCCATATGAGACATCAGAGCTCTTTGGGGCTCCCACTAAAATGTGAATTATTTTAAGGTTCAGACTGTGCTTCTCCACTTTGTATTCCTAGCTATTAGTGAAGTATCTGGTTAACTATCATTCACTGAAAACCATTTCAAAGCTTGTGCCTTACCAATAGTAAGGAGGGGTCAGCAACTTCCAACTTATCTTAGGAGACATGGAGCATATGGACTACCTTGCCCAGGTGATTCGTTAGCTAATAATCATATTCCCTTCAGAGGATGGATGGAGTAGTGCATAGCAAGAGAGCACTGAAGCAAGGAAGACCAGCATTCAAGGCCTGCATACGATCCATGTTGGCTGTTACTGGGGCTAGCCATTTACCTTGTTAATGCACTAGAGGAGGAAGGTCATAGACTTCTATGGAATTACTCTCTAAGACTGGAGATTGCTGAGTAGGGGCTCATCTACACTGGTGAAAAGAAATTACTCACTTGCCCATCTGTATGGGGATAAACCAATAAGTGATGTTAAATTGTACATGCATATGTATACGTACATGTATGGATACGTGTATAATTTTCTTACGTTTATGTATTGGTTTTAAGTCCATAAAATACTACAATTTTTTTTCATTTAATCTGGATAAAATCCAGTTGGGAAAGAGGAAGAACAAAGGTTAATTTCCCCATTTTAGAGATGAGGAAAATTAGTCTCAGAAATATTATTATTATTTGCATTAACAATATATTAATGACTCCCCTCTCCATAGTGTTGATCTGAAGCTTACATGCTGTCTTCCTTGCAGGAGCCCTTTAAGGTTTGGATTTTATGATTTTCTCACCAGAACCCAGGAAAGTGCCATAGATATTTGCCCCATTTTAGAGATGAGAAAACTTAGCCTCAGAGACATGATGTCCCATGCCCAAATGCAGAACACTAATTAGGAGTTCAGCCAGAGCTCAAATCCAGGGGTCCTGACTAAAAGCCCAGGGCACACACTATGCTGTCTTTGTTGGAGGTGATCTAACATTTGCCATAGGGTGGTTCTCCTTTAACATTGTTATCAATGAAGTGAAGAATCCAATTTCTACTTGGTTTTGCTTTTCACTACTGCCTAAAGGGGTAGAAACATCTCCACAAGAATAGCCTACTCCTGTTTCTCTGATAACTGTAGGAATGGCTCCATCATGTGGTGGAAATTGACATTTTTACAAAAACCTACCTGTGCATGAGGGGGGTGTGTGTGTGTGTGTGTGTGTGTGTGTGTGTGTGTGTGTGTGTGAGAGAGAGAGAGAGAGAGAGAGAGAGAGAGAGAAACCATGTGTGAGCATGCATGGGCACATGTGTGTGAGCAGGTGTGTATGAGTGTGTGATCTGTGTGAGCATGTGTATGACACTGTG